AAAAAAGAAAACAGTCAATTCCAGGGAAAGTAAATCTGAAGTTTTGCTTTCTAAGTTCTTTAAAGATTTTTTAAGTTCATTAAATTCCTTAAATCACAGAGCAATTTTAAGATCATACTCAAACACTTCCCTGTTGCAAGGACTGTGGCGGGATAATTATTTTTGTAGCCGTGGAAACACAGCTGATGCCATGGCTACAGACCCAGCTCTCAAGGACACATTTTAGTAGATCAAGTTAAGCAAATCCCTGTGCTTGCTGGAATCACTCATCTTAGGAATGTTTTCTCATTGCCAGCCCAGAATGTGGCATTTGACCACGGTGTTGTCTTCACATCCAGATCAACTTCTTAGCTTCTTTTCCAATGTGCTAGTTTTTTGTTTTTGTTGTTTGGTCCTTTTTGAACATTTTTTAGTAAATATAAAGAGTCTGCTTTAACGGCTCTCGAAGTCTGTTCTGACGTCTATGGAAGCTCATGTGTGTGGCAGCCTGTGCTCATGAGGAGGCTGAGAGGCCAACTGCAGGCCTATCCAGCCATGCCTGCATGCTGGGAAGAGCCGCCCAAACCCCAGGAGTATGCACCTGGAGGCAGCTAGAGCCTTCCTCTACCAAAAGGAAGCCAGCTCCAAGCGTGTGGTAGTCAAGTTGGTAAACAGATGAAATGGCTGAGTCTGCCTTTTTCTTTGACTTCTTTTTAAAGACTTATTTATGCATACAAGAACTGGAGTGCAGGCCAGAGGAGTTGGGGTGAGAGGGTTCACTGGAGAAAGAGTGGAGAGCAGAACAGGAGGGCTGATTTAGAAACACACTGCTAAGGGAAGCAGTGGGCAAGATAGGAGAGGTCTGCTGTGCCCTGTGTGGCTGGGAATCAAACGTAGCCATAGCAGTAGAAGCATTGAGACTCAACCCTTAGGCCACCAGCGAGGCCCCCTAGACCCTTCTGAAATGACAGACAAGTCTGTGATGTGATAAATGAGCAAGGCTGACTCTTCACATGTGACCGGGAGAGGACTGAAGTTTTCTGATCTCTGCCCCATGGAAAATGGCCTTTATTACAACACAGCCACTGCACCCTTTGTGTGGGACTGGGAAGAGGCAGGACTAGACAGAGACAGTCAAAGCTGTGGCCTTCTGTAAGAGCAGGTGTGGGTTAAGTGGGACCCTGGTGGAGGACATGGCAGGGGGCAGAAGGACACAAGTCACCAGAAGGGTCACCGTGCTGGGTCAGAGCACCTATCCTTCATCCTACAGAGAAGGCTCTAAGCAAAGCTTCCAACCTGGCCACAGGCTGTCACGAAGGATGCCTGAAGTAGAGCCATTGTTAATTCACCCAAGATGTCTAAACCTCTTTACTTTGTAAGTATTGGGGCCACCCCATGCTTGGCTTTTTTGGAAGCATACTGAAAAGTTAACATGGGAAATGCAAACAATCCCTAATGGACATTTCCCTAATGGAACACTATTGAAACCAAAGAGAACTCATCCCATTATGCTTTCATTGAGCTCAGCAGCTTGCGGTGTGGGCTCCTGCAGATCACTCGTTTTAGGGATACAGGTTACCATGCTCAAAACTCACGCAAAATGCTGTCATTTTTGGAGAGAGATAGGACACAAAATAACTTGGGGCAGGAAGCCCAGGTAACAATAGTTACCATAATGATGATCTCCAGCCAACCTACAGTGGAAAATTAAACTATGACTACTAGTTGGCCTGAGGTGGAAGGGAGGAGCTATTAAGGACACCCTGAATCATTCCACTTACAACATTTAATAAAGAGCATGAATAGGCATTGAAAGGGAAGGCACAGTAGATAATACAACTGATGCCCAAGTAATGGATGGGAAAATTTTAATTATCTATAAATGGTGCACTTTCTCCTAACTGGGAAGTTCAAATATGTTTTGAGCCGGGAAGATTTTGTCGTGTTTCTCCTTCCTAGGGGAAGAAGGACCTTCCTTATGCCCTTCTAGGTATGATAATTGCATCTATGAAAAGAGCAACAAAAGGTAGATTAGAAGAGAAAAGGTGCACAAATGTAATCATTTATAGTATTACAAACTTGGGGGGCAGCCCAGGGGGAAAAATCAATGCTCAAAAAACCTGTGAGACCTGAGAACTCCAGGGGTTCTAGTGGGGCAAGAGGGCCAGAGGTAGTCAGTTGGGAGAAAGATTTTCAGAACAAAGAGTGGTCTCTGGAGACAGAGCAGAGACAGGGTCCTTTGTGGCAGTGTGTATGTAGGGGGTGGCGGTGCTGACAAACAGCCTCCTTTCCTGCTAGACGGGTCAGTCCTGTATGCTGGAGAAGACTGGGGGAGGGTCCCAGACACTGAGTTCCTTTGGGAGGATCTGCCTTTAAGG